AATTAATGTATCACAATGCAAGCAGAGGCGCTACAAACTCACAGTGGTAAGTGCAAGAAAGTATAAATTAGGAAAAAATCCAACAACTAGCGCAATGACGAAGCGATAATCACTAAACAACTAAAGGCACATTTCACAAGTTCGAAACGAGTTCAGTAGTTGCAAAAAGCCTTGCATAGAATTAATCTTTTCTTTTGCATGAAACAAGATCGAGTTCTATTGAAAATGGACAAACTTTGCATAAGATTAAGACTGAAACAACGCTATATTAGTGAGGATCATCAAAAACGGGGAAGAATGAGATACCAACTTACCATCAGAAAACTAAACAAACCGCAAAAAAATCTAACTTTGTGAGGACCTAGAAATAAAAAAAAAACAACGCTAGATTAAAGAACCTAACGAAGAAAAATAAAATTAAAAATGCTGTTATAGAATTACTGAGACAATTATGCAGGTGAGGTCTTACTTCTCAGCACTCATATGACCAATATTCGAACGGCCACAGTAACAGGATTCTCGAACGAATAACGAAAACATTAAAAAACCAGATCTTTCAAAAAAATTTCAAAAATGCTGTTATAGAATTATTGAGACAATTATGCAGGTGAGGTCTTACTTCTCATCACTCATATGGCCAATATCCGAACGGCTACAGTGACAGGATTCTCAAACAAATAACGAAAAACATTAAAACACCAGATCTTTCAAAAATGCTAGATGAAGGCCGTAACAGTGAGATACACTAAACGTTAAACAGTAACAGTGGTGCCGTTATGACAAATATTCATGAAGAAAGCATCAAAAAAGCCCTTCAAACCCTTTAAAAAGCTGATTGTATAAAGAGTATAAGCTTTTATGTAATCGCTAACAGTTTAAAAGTAAAATGGTTTTTCCCAGCAAATCCTCCTTACAATATTTTAGTAACGGCCCACAAATTATGCGTATTAAAGAATACAAAACGACGAAGAAAAGACAGGACAAAGAACAAAACCAGAATAATCACAGATACAGCTATTAAACAAATAAAAATTTACAGTGACTACAGCAGGGGACAGTTTTTTTAAAACCTAATATTACTACTATAACTTACTTTTATCAAACAATGGTATTAAAAAATGAAACTATTAGACATCTCATGCATGTTTTGGAAAGAACTATGTCAAGATTTGAACATCGGGATTAATTTATCAATTCTTTAATAAGACCAGAAAAGCTAGTATTTTCACAATGGCGTCATAATAAAACGGTCCGGAATACCAGAAATAATTTTAAATAGTTTCTGTATCTGTCGGTGTTGCTGAATCATAAACTGTATCATTATCACGCGTTTCAGATTGCAAACAGCACTGCTTTTCCAAAGTGCCAGCACCGCAGTCACAGAAAAATCTAAACCAAACAGATAATTAACGTAACAAAAATAAAATTATTTTACTCAATCTCACGCAAACTGTAAAGTGTACAATCAGCCATTTCAAAATGGTTTATGTCAGTAGACCAAATTATCTTAATAACATTGCGGGAAGGGTCAATATCTACCTGTCATGACGAACAAACTCAACATGATGTCCTTGATGACAAACACGAATGCAATTGATACATATGGCATTTCTGTCTGTTGTATTGCAGGTATAACACCTATAACACAGTGGAAGTTTCAAAAACATTTTTCATCCATCCTTCAAATACTATTACACTAATAAATAAATCATTTGAAGTAAAGTTCTTTTTGAAACTGTCCGCTGTTAGTTCTCATTCACTATATATAAAAGTTTAGCTCTTATCCAGTGAATTTCCAAGAGTTCAAAGAGGAAAATTATAAAGTGAAAAAATATTTCCACAAACCTGAAAAAGTCATGCATCGGAAAGGAAGTGCACGAACTGATTTTAAACAAGCAGTGTCCCTTACTTACAGCTCTGTCAACCGCATTATGATTATCATAGATCTTATTGTCGCGTAAAATAGGCCTGACGTCAGTTGCAAGACAGAGACCTGAAATATTAGGCAACATATACACTGTCCTTGTAATCAGAAGAAAATAACCATGCTGTTAAAATCTTGTACCTCCAAATTCATTGTGAAATAACTGATTGCCTTCCAAAGTTGCAGAAGCACCATTTGTTATTTCTACGCCAGCAGCACGTCCTTTAAAAATTCGATTGCGACGAAGTATTGGATTTGATTCTGTGGATATTAAAACCCCTGCTTGAGCATTTCTGTAAATTTCGTTTTCTTCGAGAAGTCCACGACCCTAAACCAACTGTTTCAATTATATCTCCATTTCAATCCCTAAATCCTCCAAAATGCTATCAAAACTTTCTATCTTATGCAAAATGCATTCGCTATAATGAGCAATATAGCTAAATGAATCAGGCTCACTATATGAAACACACAGTTCAAAGTCTCTGTCATTCATCTAAATCCTGCGATTCATAAAGCAGTGCTGCCACTTTGTCTAACACAAGAGAAACATTGAAAGTCAAAACACTTGACTTTATATTCGTGAAATCTTTATAAACATGCAGTGCATATTTATACCGTCAAATGAAAATAGAAATAAAGTCAAATAAAAAAAAAAGTGCGCTATTGGAAGTTTTGACTAACAATGATTTCTTCCTAATTTTATCTTCCTTAAACACTTTCTTCTTCGCACTTACTATCTAGGGCTTTTTACCTCGCTGTGAATCGTAATATAATCATACTACCGACTTCAACCTTAGTTATCTTTCAATTCCCATTAATCTCGCCTTAAACTCCACCTTATAAAATCAAACTGATTTCTTTCAAATCACCGTCCACACAGACTCTCAAAGTCTATATAACAAAACAGCGGCATAAATTCTAATGTAATCCCTCACTTTCTCACGTGAGATTTAACCCTTCTTTAAACAATCGAGTTTTAAGCAACCGGCGTTTGAGATCGAGTTACGAAATACATAGCTAAGTGTGATATTTTGATTGATTCTTTTTGAGTATAAAATTCAAAAAAAACTAATCAAAATAAGTTTTTAATTTTAAATATCAAATTCACAAGCGTATACTTTGCTAAAAATACACACGCCACCATCACGTCCATCATATATTTTGTTCCGTCTTAAAATAGGATGGCTTTCCGTTTTAATCCATACCCCAGCCATAGCGTTATCAAAAATCTCGTTATCTTCCAAAACACCTTTACCGCCGTTGTATACAAGTACGCCTCCATTTTGACCTCCCCATATTTTGTTCCTGGTGATTTTCGGATTCGATCCAGTTCTTAAAAAAAGTAACTGATCAGTGATATTCAAAAACGAAAACGTTGAGCTATCAATAACTCAAAAGAAACAATAAGGGATAAATTCCAGAATAAAGCGGTACCGACGATAAAGAAACCAGCGCGTGATAGGCTAGAGCCCCATATTCCAAAAATAAAAGACAAGATTAAATAAAAAAAACCTGATCTGAACTCCGGAATATAAATGGTTGAATATATCATTCTCTTCCAGAAGTCCGTGCCCATTATCGTAAAAGTACACTCCAACCTAAAACGAAGTTTCATGATTTTCATTTCTAAAGCTAATTGCGAATGCGAGTGACTACAAGAAAAATTTTCAACCAAACAAACTGCATCAATCACCTTTTTTTTTTTTGGAAATTCCGTAATAATTACCAGAGGTAGACAATTAAAACAGAGCAACATTAGCAATATCAAAGTTTACCAAACAGTATTTAATTATTTTTAACATTGAGCAACTGTCATAGACGTTTTCTTCCTAATTTTTAACAAAACTTCAAAAATAAACAGTCTTTTAAGAGATGCACAGCCTCATTTTATCAGCCACGTTAATTTTCAACCTAATATATTATGCTGTCACCTGAATTAACTAAATTAAACTGTAATATGCCTTTATCGTAAAAAATATTTTGTCCAAATTTACAGACAGAAACAGGAAACAAGGAAGCAAACTCCACAATTTTAGTTCACAGTGTTCATAAAAAAAAAGGTACTAAAATTTTTTTTGCTACACTGTTTTTTCTTTATGAATCCCACTAGGGAATGTGCAACCAAGAAACCTCCAAAAACGTGACAATTTTTTATCGATTTGAACGTCTCCGATGATTTAGAAAAGAAATAAAATCTAAAAAAAAAAAAGATGCATAAAGAGAACAGACGGATCAAATAAAGTTTGCAAAATCTAACTTGTTTCCCAGAATGAATGCGATTTCGCCGTAAAATAGGCGACGACCCAGTGGTCACCCAAATTCCAGCCAATGCATTTCCATAAACTTCGTTTTCTTCAATAACGCCTTTACCTTTCTCATGCTGAAAAATACTGAAATAATGAACGAAAATATGAGTAAAACAATGATTTCCCCTGCTTCTTCAATGAAGAGTACTCAAAACCTTAAAATTGAAAAGATTAAATAAGAAATCACTAGAAGAAAAATAAACTAAAACAAAAAATAAGAGGTAAAAAAGGAAGATAAAAGAATTCAACGACACAAAAAAAGAGAAGTACAAAAAGTAGGAAAATTAAAGAATATCTTGCAGAGAAAAAGTTTAAGAGATGACCAAAACTGAAAAGTAAAATTTGATCAAAAAAGTTTATATAGAATCAACTAAGTCACGCGGGTACAAATTATACAAATTTTACAGTTCTGGCTGAGAAGTAAAGATTTCAAATAATCGAAAGCCTCGAAAAAATAAAATAAAACTCAATCGTATGCAATACTTCGAATACACTATAAGTGCTATAAACAATTAGTAACTGGAGATGAAGGACATACAACGTAAATGCCGCCATGTAAACCACTGTGAATTTTATTTAGCCTAACGATAGGATCGGATCCAGTTCTGATTTGTATTCCTGCGAGGTTGTTCTGATAAATATTATTTTGTTCAATAAGTCCTCTACCTTCCCCGAATATATAAACACCACCCTGTTGACCATTATAGATTTCGTTTTTTCGAACTGTAGGATCTGAATGCGACGTTATCCAGATGCCAGCATAAGCATTTCCATATATGCGATTCTCCATAAACTGACCTCTTCCTAAAATTTCAGCAAAGGGTCTAAAAAATAATTACTAAATATAAGAGATATTGAAACAAAGAAAAAATTGAATAAAAATGAATAAACTGGAAAAAAAATAAACAAATAAAATCAACCTTTTTCATGCACATAAATGCCTCCAGTACGTCCATGATGAATTTCACAACGTACCACAGTAGGATTTGCTTGATTTTTCACCTCAATACCAGAAATCCTGTTTCCATGAATATTACATTTCTCGAAGTAACCCTATAAAGAAAGGAAGATTATGCAATACAGCAAAAGACAATGCTTTTTAGAAACAGATGCTCAAAATTACCATTCCATGCTCAAAAGTAAAAACGCCAACGTCCTTCCCGTTGTGTATGTGGCATCTTTTAAAGTACGGATTCGCTCGGTTTTTAACCCATATTCCAGCGAGAGTATTCTCAGCTATTTCGCAATCCTCGTAAATCCCCAAAGCACCATCGGTTATAAAAATGCCCACATTACCACATTCGCAAATCGAACAGTGTTTCATCCTCGGATTAGCACCTTCATTTTTCACACAAACCGCAGCACCACCTAAGCAAAAACTGTTTTCAAGAAAAAAATGGCAGCTGTTACCAATACTGAAAAAAAAAAAACTGAGATGCTAAGATCACCATTACTACAGGAAGAGAAATTGCATCTCTCAATTGTTGGATTAGTCTCATCTGTCACAAGAAGCGCATAATAGATGTTTTGAGGCCCAGGGAAAGTTGGTTCCGGATTATACTGTACAGTCACATATCCAAGATAGGCTCCAGCAGACCCCTCAACAAAAGATATTGTTGTTTCCGTTTTATTTTCCAAGATGACGGTGCTTTGAATATTCATTGCAGAACCTGAAAAATCAAAAGGTGCAAAAACCACATCCATTTAAAACAAGTAATATCCACAAACATGTAGTTCTTCAGAGCCTGTAGTAATACAAGTTAACCATAACGAGAAACCGATAAATTTTACAACCAAAACTTCACTTAACATATCCAACCTTCAGAAGAAATCAAGTTTACACAAGCAGCTTCTTTCACCAACACCTGTTTGAGACGACAAGTGATGGAAAAGGCTACATTAATAAGAACAAAATCCACAGCATTAAACTTATTGTACTAGTTAGAAAATCTTCCAAAACACTCAGCATCTCAGTTTTCCCAAACCATGCAGCAAAGTAAAATGAAAAAGCGCAGATTTTTTATATGAGGAATTACAACAATAAAACTGCGCATGTAACCCAATGCTTAAAAAAGTAAAGAACGCGCTCCGCATACCGCGGAAGAACCACAACTTTAAATCAAAATGAATTCCCTCTCACCGGTACCGTAACCAATAATAAATTCAAACAAAACATACTAGCTCCAATTATTTGTACAGGAGAATCTATCACTATTGGTTCCAGCGCATAATGTGCCGCATGTAAAAATATTAACTTCTCACGATCCGGTCGAGCCTCCAAATACCTTAAAGCAAGTTCCAGCCTATCAAAGTGAACCAACGAACGCCCCTTTTCCCCCTCGTAGAGATGACTATAACGCGGCCTTACATGGATTCCATTTCGCTAAAAACAAAGAAATTCTAATGAAGTCACTGGTGAGACCTGAAGCTGCCTTTCCACTAGTTAACCACTAGAAAACTAACCAGTTGAAAAAAACTATCCTTCCACGGATTACGAGATTCCTTCCACCGAGCTGCATCCCGAAATTCAAATTTACCAGGACAAGGATGGTACAGAGGTACAGTATACTCGAATATTTTCTGATATAGAAGCCTCCTGAAAACAATGCAGTAGAGCACACCACGGAACACATCCAACAAACAAAATTAATCAACAAAAATATGCTAAATACGACATCCCCATCTATAGATAGATCAAATTACCGAATTTTATAAAAAAGAAAAGTGATTTTGGCGACACTTAAATTTTCACAGATGATTTCCGAAAGTCCACATCTATCTTCTTTCTAACAACCTTAACACAATAAATATCCATTTTAACCCATCAAAATACATTAAAAAAATTTACCCAATAAGATGAATAAACAAATAAAGAGAATAAAAAATATATAAAGATTAAAATAATACCACATATTACAGTCGTTAGATGTGCAGTAAAAACGTTTTGAAACATAGTTGCATTTAATAAGATCTCCTTCACATAAATAAGAAAAAATCTGAAATATCTTAGTTAGCAAACGACGGACTGCGTCTCTAGTAGAAGAAAGCACTAATTAAGAGTGAGTGACTTTCCAAACATTCGAACTTCTAGGC